CTTGACCAATGTGATAGGATGTGTAATTGTTCTTCAAGAAACTTTTTACTGTGTGAAGATAGGTCAGGAGTTTACATATTCCTCACACTCTGTCTCCCCTTAATATTAAATCTTATGTTAGTGTGGTACATTTGTCACAGCAGATGTGCCAAGATCAACACATTGTTGTGGTTGTCATTTAGTCACTAAGTCGTGTCTGACTCTTTTGTGACAGCGCAGATTTAGCCTGCCAGGCTCCTCTGTCCATACATTATTCTTTACTAAAATCCGTACTATTCATCTTTCTTTGAACTTTACCTGGAATCCTTTTTCTATTCTAGGATCCCACCCTGGTTACCACATTGTAGTTAGTCTTTGCTCTAGGCTTCAAAGTGTAATTTTAAAAAACTATTTATTTATGAATTTGTATTTTTTTTTTAGACTGTGCTCTGTGGCATGTGGGATCTTAGTTCCCCAACCAAGGACTGATCCCATGCTCCCTGTATTGGGAGCACAGAATCTTAACCACTGGACCGCCAAGGAAGTCCCTAAACTATAATTTTGACCTGGATCAAGCTATACACTTAATGTATCATTGCAAGGCAATGAGTCACAGTTAATTTTTTTTTCATATTAAATATTCTCCTTCCTTCAAACATCAAAAAACCAATAAGGAGCTAATAAATCACCACTACCTGATTGATGCTATCAAAGATTTGAGTTTTCCAGTAGCTTTACATTGTTTTGCTGTATTTTTTTTTTAGATGAAGTTCACTCATGTCCAGTGGAAAAAGTTAGACCATCCACATTCTTAATGGACACGTGTGGAATTAGTAGCATGGCTTTTAGTATTTACCAAAACGAAGGACCTGTAATTTGCCCTGAGGAGTACCCTCATTTCAGAAAACAATAATTAAGTCCTGAGGAGTTAGGGCAGCCGAGTCCTCCCAGAGCTTTTTCTCTCTTCAGGTCTTCCTTATCTTCAGTCAGCCAGCTGGGGGAAAGCATGCCAGTACCAGGTAAATCCAAGGGGGACTTTGTATAAACAAGCTCTCAGGACACCCACTGGGAGCCGTGACTTGACTCACACTGCCTTGGACCAGTCGCTGCCTGGACTGGACTGGTAGAGATTGCCAAGGTGGGTCATGGGATGAAGAAGGTGACTAGAAGTCCTTTGTCCAGTCTTGGTGACCTGGAGAAGATCATGCTAGTTGGGGAGAAGCAGTGGCTCCTAAATGCAAGGTGGTGAAATGCTTCCTTTGTCCTTGTCATGAGCTGCAGCAGGAATGTGAATGTGTGCTGGCTTCTTCTCAGTGAGACTCTCAGCTCCTAAACCATCACATCTGTGGACCAGTAGTCCTGGTTCTCTAGCTTTTCATTAGTTCTCTGTCTTTTATCCATTAGTCATTGCTGTGACTCCATGCATCCTCCACATCCTGTCTACTTGGGCAGCCAAAACTTCCCCACAGGGTCTGGGCAGTGGTCTGATGTGCTGATGAAGCATTTAAAGGCCTTTGCTAATCATCTAGTGCAATGTGCTTCTCTCCAGCCTTTTTTTTTTCTTTTTGGGAATGACATTTAAAAACTTGAATGAAATTGATGTTTGTTCAAAGAGCCACATATGATATCATTCCATTTATATGAAATGGCCCCAATACATAAATCCATAAAGACAAAAAAGCAGGTTAGTGGTTACAGGGTCTGGGAGAGGTGAGATCGGTGGGGGAGACTGCTAATGGGAATAAGCTTTCTTTTGGAGGTAATAAAATATTGCAGAATTACATAGTGGAGATTGCTGAACAACCCAATATTAAAAACCACTCTATTACAGACTATAAAATGCTAAATTTTGTGGTATGTGAATTATTTCAATTAAAAACTTGGTGCTTGTTTATTGTACAGATGTTGAAAAAGAAAATAAAAGAGGACTTTTAAACTACCTATATAATTTCATATAACTAATAGCGGGTGACAGTTTTAGATGTTTCTGTTTTGTGTTTGTCTCATTTTTTTTTCCTTTGGTTGTTCTTGACCCTTTTAGGGCCAGGAAAAATCCTGTTGGAATCTGCTGAGAATCTACCTGTTCTCACTTGTTGGAGGTGCAGCATCTCAAATAAGGATAGCCATTCTAAAGTGTAGGATAATGATGATTTATATATATATATATATATATATATATATATAAAACTAGGTCTACTTCAGACTGTATATGGTGCCCTTATGTCTCAGTTAGGAAGCAACAACAGGGCCTAGTTTTGCTGGAACTTAAGGCCTCAATTCCAAGGACAGCAATGACTGGATATTGTGAATTTATTCATACATTTGACTTGCAGAGGAAATGTGCTAGAGCTCAGGCTCTGCACACTTTCACATCTAAGTCCCAAAGATTGGGTTCCCTGATATTAGCCTTGAAAATTAGTGAATCTTACCTGTTTTTCCAAATATGTAGATGATACTCTTTTGCTTAAATATCCAAACTAAATTTTACCTAGGGTAAAGCTTAAGACTGAAAGAAACTAAAAATCAATTCCCAGGGAAGGTACTGATCAGTGCAACATATTCAGGGAGAATCTCAACATTTCTAATGTCAAAAGGGACTTTGCATGTCTCTGTGTGTGTGTGTTTGGGTGGTGGTGGGGTGACATCTGCTCATGAGTCAACAGAAATGTTTGTATCACCTCCGGCTCTTCTCCCACGAAGAGTGTGCATGTCCACCCCCCAGCTCAGATGAATACGAAAATACTTATGCTTCCAAATTGAAAGCTGCCTTGGAAGAGCTGGGGCTCTTTTACACAGTGGAATTGGGCTAATGTGCTTATTTTTCTACAGAGTATGTATTTATTTGACTGTTTCACACCATTTGTCAATTTCTAAGCAGTTAATAATTTTTATTCCTCTTTCAGATGTGTGTATATAGTACAAGTGTGTTTGATTTCCTGTGGTCTCTCTACATTTAAACAGTGCTGAGTGATGGTATGTGTAACATGCCAATTTAAGATTTCAAACCCAAACTGAACCACATTGATTGGCCTGTATGGCTTATGCCTGTCTCTGTCCTGTAGCAGCTCTGAATTCTGTCTAGGTTTTAGTCTTCACTAGAGATGCAGCAGCTGATATCCTCCAGCTGTTTACAGTCCCTTGAGGAGAATTAAAATGTATGCAACTGTTGATTCAGGGGATGATGTAATTGCCATAGGAGAGGTGTATGGTTTGGGGGATAGTTTTAGAGAATAAAGTTGTTACTTCTGAAAGATTGATCAAGGATGTTTTGTGAAAGGTGGTGTGAATGTGTGACTTCTGACACGTGGGTAAGTTTGGACTAGCAGTGAAAGAAAGAAGGAATCTTCCATAACAGAATGTGAAAAGCCATGGGCCCATTTCAGAAATAATCCCCCCTCTTGGTTGCTTGGAATTGGGCCTGAATTCTAAGGGCGTTGCAAGCTGATGTCACCTCGCATGTCCTGGGATTTAGAAACAAATGGGCAGAGACGATCCACTTAGACACATGGGTACCTGTGAGTGTAAACCGGCCAGTGTTCGTTTAGCTAAATAATTTAAAGCATTTTGTGTACCTGAATTCTGTCTGAAAATCACTTGTACTCCACTTTTAGGTCTCCGTTTTTTTGAGTAAGGCCTCGTCTTAAGGGTTGGGGGTGGTTCCCTGAAGTGTCTGGGTGCTTTGTTTGTTCTCACCTCTCATTTAAGGGAGACAAGTTGGGTCACCCAATATTGAATTATAAACTGCCTTTTTTTGTAATAATTTTTTTAAATTTTTGTGGTAAATACACAAAATTTATCATCTTATCCATTATTAAATGCACAATTCAGTGGCATCAAGTACATTCACCTTGTTGTACAACCATCACCAATATCCATCTTTAGAACTTTCTCATCTTACCAAAATGAAACTCTGTCTATATCAAACACTTAACTGTCCATTCTGCCTCCTCCAGCAACCTGTCACCCACTATTCTACATTCTGTCTATGAATTTGACTACTCTAGTAGTTCACAGTATTTGTTTTTCTGTGTTGTTTCACTCAGAATAACCCACCCATGTTGCAGTATGTATCGGGGTTTCCTTCTGTCTAAGCCGTGTCATTTGACATCATGTGTGTGTCCCGCTCTTTGATACTGTCAACCTAGATTCATCCAGATGTGTTGTCGGCGTCACCCTGACAACACATGGCTTCGCCATTTCTACCTCCACTCTCCACCTCCAACCAATGGGACCCCAGCCAAGACCAAGGTATGGGGTGAAAGTCTTCTAAATAAACTGCACTGGGATATGCAGAAAGGACTATATGAGGCCCCAAACGGTTTCTAGGTCATCAGTCACACCTACCCATCCCTCCTGGCATTTCAGAACAGGGGACCCATGACTTTGTGCTGTACTCTCACTTGAACAGACCAGCTCTGCTCTTGCCCTTGGAGTTTATGACTCTGGGGGTGACTGCTTCTGCTAACACAGTCTCTGAGGAAGTGGGGTTACTATTGCCATAAAGATGAGAAACTTCTGTCTTTATGCTTATTGGGTAGATCAGCTCTTGGCTGTTGGCTGCTGATGAGTCTGGGGGCTGGGGTGGGCAAGAGGGAATGAGCTGCTGAAGAAACTCTCCAATTCTGAATTTATTCAGAATTATAACGGGCCTATATATCCGAAGGACCACCTGCTGACTCTGGCTCCAGAAGTGTTTAATTTTGCCAGCTGGTGTTTTAATCTCTCTCTCTTTCCCAAAATGAAACTTGGGCCACATGTTTGCTTCCTCCATACCTGCTGTAAAGCATTTGCATTTTGCCTGGGATTGCAAAATGATTGCAAAATTGCAGGAATCACTTTTGCTTTTGGATCAAATCTGATGCTACAAAAGCCCTGTGAATATTACCATAACACCTTATCCCTCTAGGTGTTCTATAAACAGTGGGCAGTTTTGCTAAAACACTATTGTCGTTGCGTGAAAAGCAGAAAAAAGGCCCTGAAGGGAAGTCTCATAAATGTGTGTGCTGTGCTCTTTTGCCCAGGGCAAGCGGAAGTTCCTGACTCAAATGATCCTTTGGGACAACTGGATGGACAATACAGCCCTATCCCAACTCTGAAAGGTAAACTGTGAAGTGTTCTCTGAATGCAAGCACTTGAATGTGTTTTCAGAGTACCATGCAGCATGATTCACTGTGCCACTATACTCAAGGCTTGACCTGCGGAAATGGATGGTCAGGGTCTCCCATGGCCCAGTGCTGCCCCATAGGTGGGTGTAAAGCTGAATTCCACCTCTGTACCCCAACACTGAATCATACCTCAGAGACAGAGTTTGGGGTGAAGTAGATAAGAATAACTTCATTGCTTTGCCAGGCAAAGGGGGCCACAGCAGGCTAATGTCCTCAAGACTACAGGTCCCAACCTGGGGTGGGAAAGTGAGAAGTTTTATATGAACTAATGGTTCAAAGAACTTCGTGGTTCAGCTTGTGGACATTCTTCTGATTGATTGGTGGTGAGATAAGTAGGAGTCAGCACCATCAATCTTCTGGTTCCTACTGGTCTAAGATCTATATGATTGTGAGCAGCGTTCTGTTAACTTCTACCTGGTAGGGGTTTCAGTATCTGCATAACGGCTCAAAGATATTGTTATGTGTACCACTTGAGGAGGAACAATGACCCTACTCCAAAGTCGCACTATTTTTTTTTTTGACAGCTCCTCCTTTGTCTCTGCATCTCCTCCCTTCCCTGATTAAGCAACTGTCTGAACCTGCCCACTGGAACTCAGGCAAGGTCATGAAGGCTGCTGTTGTTGTTTAGTCACTAAGCCATGTCCTCCTGTTTTGTGACCCTGTGGACTGTAGCCACCATGCTCCTCTGTCCATGGGGTTTCCCAGGCAAGAATACTGGATTGGGTTGCCATTTCCTTCTCCAGGACATCTTCCCAACCCAGGGATCGAATCTGTGTTTCCTGCATTGGCAGGCAGATTCTTTACCACTGAGCCACACGGGAAGCCCTGTCATGAAGGCTAAATGAAACCTGTCTCCTGTAATCAAGAAATGGGGGGATACAGAAAGGCTTTTGTGCCCAGGAGTCCCACAGGGTCCTGCTTGGTATCAGGTGCAGTGGCATGCCTCTTGACACAGTTTTGAAGCTATTGAAAGCTGGGTAGAGTTTGTCAGAAGCTGGTGGGTGGGTGGGAGATGAGAGGGCAGGGGTGGACAGATGGCCGCTGAAGGGAAGGAGATTGAAGGGAGCTCTATGGGCCCGAACAGAGCCTTAGGACCTGGACGCCTGGCTTGGCCATGAAGTCTCCTGCTGACAAGGTCTTCTCGGGCTGTTCTCCAGATGTCATTGTCCAGACTAGGGAGCGTCTCAGGTGGGCAAGTGGCCCTCCGCCACAGGTCACCAAGGAGCAGGTTATTTGTCTTATTGCTCCGGTCTTTCCCAGAGGTCACTGCCGAGATCACTGCTCACTTGGCACACTTTGTAGGCATCTTAGATTTGAAAATCAGTAGACGTCTTTTCCTGTGACGCAGCCCAGTCACTTGAGGAAGTGGTGCTTCGCTTCCTTCATCCGCTGTCACCATATTGCCTCAGTCAGCTCAGGCTGCCACAGCAGAACACCACAGGCTGGGTGGCTTAATCAATAGACATTTACTTCTCACGGTCCTGAAGACTGGAAGTCTGAAATCAAGGCGCTGGCATTGCTGGGTCCTAGTGGCATGCTAGGTTTGTAGACAGTGCAGTTTTGCTGTGTCCTCACAGAGAGAGAGAGAGAGTGGACTCTGGTCTCTTCTTATCTTATAAAGACTCAAATCCCATCATAGGGATCCCACCCTCATGACCTCATCTAACCCTAATTACTTCCCAAAGGCCTCACCTTCAAAGGAGGCACCACTACCACACACGTGGTTAGGCTTCAACATGTAAATTTGTGGGCACGCCATTCAGTGTATAATAATTAACTGTTAAAACAGCCACTTTATTTCTGTTTACTTTCTTTTTGTAAGCATTATTCAGAGCTCAGACATCCATAAATTTCTCAGCCCCCTGCATGTTGAGGGTCCCTGTGTCCCCTCAGGAATGTGTTCGCCTCCACATGTCCAAGGCTGGGTCTCCTGGAGACTGAGCAGAAATGACTCAAGCCCACCAGTCTCAGCTGAGCGGAATAGATGTCCCTCTGTGTCCTGAAAGAACCTCTTGGGATAACACAAGGAACTTCTGCATTCTGGCCTCAGAATAGTTGTTTACATTCACAGAAATAGAGTCGTAGATGTAGAAAGCAAGTGTATGGTTACCAGGAAGGATGGGGCGGGAGGGATAAATTGGCAGGATGGTATTGACATAGTCACGCTGCTACATGTGAAATAGATAACTAATAAGGACCTACCGTATAGCACAGGGAATTCCACTCAATATTCTGTAATGACCTATATGAGGAAAGAATCTAAAAAAGAATGGGTACATATAGATGTATAACTGATTCACTTTGCTGTATGTCAACTATGGTCCAAGAAAAATTGTAAAGCAAATGAACAAACAGGGTGTGTGGATCTCCTTGCTGTTGGTGGTGCCTTGTGTGTGGAGGCTCCTTGATAATTATTTTCCCCTTTCCTATCTTATGCAGAAAATATACAGGTTAGTTTCCTCACATTGACCCCCTTGCAGTCCTACTGTGGTCACTGTGACCTTGTACAGAGTCAGGATATTTGGAGGAGAGGGCCTCTTTTGGCTAGGTAGGGACGTATCTCCATGGCTACCAAGGTCAGGGCTCTGGAAACTTGTGTACTACACTGGGCCTTAGGATAGATTTCTTAGGAAGAAATACAGAATACAAAAGCATTTCTTAGGAAGAAAGGTAGTTTTTGGTGGTTAGATTCTGAAGTCATTTTTCCTAAGTGTGATTGAGCCCGCAATCTAGTATTATAGAGACTCAGATCCCATCATAGGGGTCCCACCCTCATGGGTCATGGCTCTTGCCCAAAAAGGGACTTGCCCCATTCTTCCCTTGTGCTCTCCTGGCCTCCTCCTCACACCCTCAGTGATGGAAGGAACTGGCCTGGCAATGCCAGACTTATTAATCCATGCACTATTTTTTTTTTGTTTAAAGAGCTTCAGGGAGCATTACTACTTGGCCACATTTGGCTTAAATCATATATAAAAAGTAATAATAGTTGAATGGACTGTATGAGCTATTTCTTTAATCCAGTTACCATTTATGATGCCCATGCATCTATAAAACTGCAGGCAGGTGAAAATGGCTAGCGGCAGTCTGTCACTGAACGAAACAGAATCTAAGAATTAGTTACCAGCATAAAAAGCATTTGAGTTCAGATATACTGAGCCAGGATTGAGCATTTAACATATAACTTGTGGTTGGTATTCAGAGAGGGAGATCCCAGAGCGATATAGAAGGAAAAACAGAATACAAAAGCACTGTGATTTACAGATGAAACGTTTGCCTGAAATTTCTATATGCCAAAGTACTGTCATGGTTAGTACTGAAGCTGGCCTTAGGACTCTGGTAATAGTATTTAACAGGAGCTTTATATTCTTTGCTATATTAGATACACTATTTATTATTATTATACTTACAAAAGTGTTTACTTGGCCTAGAAACCATTTGCTCTTTTGTTCCAAGGCTGTATTTTAAATGCATATGTAACCGGTTTTGTAAAATCAGTACTTTGGAATGTGTGTGGGCAGTGGATCATTTCTGAGAGCCTGGGCTGGTGGTGCTCATCTTGTTCATCTTGCGTCCTCCAAAAATAGACCCGCTTGCTTGTGTCTCCTGCCTTAGGAGAAGGGTGCTCATCATCCTGGCTGAAACCAGAAGGGGATTTCCTGACTCTCTGCACTTGAAGCTGTGTTGCAATTAGAGGTGATCTCAAGGGCATTCTAAATCACAGGGCAGGAGTTGATGCCTTACTCACCAGGCTGCCCCCTGCTATTTGTGACATGTTATGTTGTAGAGCTGAACTGAAACTTCCTGGGACAGAGAAAACAAAGCCATCAGCAGCAGAGTTCACCCTGTTGGCATGGAGACCATGCCTGAGGTCTGTTTCCTGGTTGCCTGATCCACCTAGATGCAGGGATTGATTAGCATATGTGTTGGGTGCATTTCTGGTTTATTCTGGAACTCTTGGTGCATGTGTGAGTGTGTGTGAGCATGTATGTGATAGTTTCCTGGAGTTTATGGAGAGTGAGGGTCTCCAAGGATGATGGGTTAACTTGAAAACAGCACTCTACTTGCAGACACAGTTAGCTTAGGTCTGTGGCTGGGAACTGGGGGCCAAGCTCAAGCTGTGAGTCTGGGCCCCTGCACCTCCCCTCTGAGTGGCCCATGGCTGGGCATGGAAATCTGGGGTTCCCCTAGACGGTAAGCAGAGAGTGTCCAATGTTGCACCACTTCCTTGGACAAATCTAATGTGAGTTTCTGGGCTCTGAGCCCTGGCCACTCTCGAGGTGAAGGCTGATCATTGAGCTCCCTTGATCCTCCTGCAGCCAGAATTTTCTGAGCCCATTGGGCTGCCCAGGATCTGAACAAACTAAACATTGTTGGGAGAAAGCGGAAACCTACAGATGAGAGATTTCAAAGCGAACAAGTCCTATGCAAGGTGGATTGGATGGCATAGGACCTCATATACACATATGAGAGCCCGCTCTGTGGGAGGGCAGGGATGCAGCCTGCTTCTCGGAGTGGTGGGGCCAGTGTGGGCCTCCAAGCCTTCTTCTCTGCTTCTCCTTCTTCTCAGTGTCCCCCTCTCACTGTTTCAGGATAACTGCTACAGCCTGCACCTCAGCTGGGATGGAGTCATGGTAACTGGTGGCCAGTGCCTGGCTGGACCGTCCATTGTTGTCGCTACTGAAGGTCCTTTCTCAATCCACTGGGTTTGAACACCAAACTGCACTGGCCTTGTTCTTGTGCTTGTCTAACGTCTGTCCCAGGTGTGTGCATCTGTGTGTGTGTTTCCGTCTGTAAGACCCCCCCCCCCCGCCCACCCCGCAACCCTGCCACCGAGAATTCAGCAGCTCATGTGTAGTCCCATTGCCTGTTTTTTTGTGTATTTCTCTCCCTGAGTCTGCCCGTGTCATCTGGTTTTCTGGGTCTAGGTCTGTCTT